CGACAGTTCACACATGTATCAAATGATTCCACTGCTGATTAGACTGAGACAGCAATGTAAATATCAAGGCCGGGACCTGCTGTATAGTTTGCAGAGAGAAATTACATTCCAGATCTTTTTTCATTGCGATGAATTGTGTGTAAGAGTTCCTCCCCTGCCCTGCTACATCCGCAATGGCATGCTGAGAGAATTCAATTTGGAACGGTTCTCTTTAATCCCATCTTCTTCCTCACACCATATTGCTGGGCCTTGTAAACCAGGGGAATGCTCAAAACCTGGCTCCATCTGCTCTCTGCTTAAAAGGTAAAGGTAAAGGGCCCCCTGACCCCTGGTCCAGTCGTGACCGACTCTGGGGTTGCAGTGCTCATCTCGCTTTACTGGCCAAGGGAGCCGGTGTACAGCTTCCGGGTCATGTGGCCAGCATGACTAAGCCACTTCTGGTGAACCAGAGCAGCGCATGGAAACGCCGTTTACCTTCCCGCCGGAGCAGTACCTATTTATCTACTTGCACTTTGACATGCTTTCGAACTGCTAGGTTGGCAGGAGCAGGGACCGAGCAACGGGAGCTCACCCTGTCACGGGGATTCGAACCGCCGACCTTCTGATCAGCAAGTCCTAGGCTCTGTGGTTTAACCCACAGCGCTGTCTTCAAATCTATGCCTTATTAGAGGCAGCAAGGCTTCACTTCAAGTGCTCCCTTAAAATATGGCTCAGAATTTATTCCCAAGAAACTCTTTTTTGGGGAGTCATGGCGGGAGGAATATCCAGCTAGTTCAAAGTTAATCGATTTAACCAGAGGGTCTTTTTCATTTTTTTTGGTATGTTAATTGTCTCAGCAACGAAGCCTACTTCTGTTTAGATAAAAACCGAAACTTTGTTTCCTTTTGCAGAAAGATCTTTTGTTTTACACTGATTTTTTTTAAAAAAAATGTTTTATGTTTTCCCTTCCTACATGCAAATCTCATTAATGTAGATTTCTGCCCCACTGAGTGATTTTTTTTTATAAAAAATGTTGATATAGTCAATGCACTATGATCCAATATTTTAAATGAAAATCAGATTATTGTGCATGACGATCCTAGTGTAGAATAAGCAAAGTTGCCATTGATTTTGACATTGCAGGAGTACGGACCACTTCATATCCTCTTAACACATTAGCTGCTGCAACCCTGCACTTTTCACAAGTTATCAGCATGTTATCAACATACACCTTTTCAAGGATAAAGCAAGCTTCCTTTATCCAATGCACACTGCAGGCAAATATAGCTGGTGAGCTGCTTTTCAGCAGACACTTTTACTCCTTTGATTTCAGGAAGGAGAGATCAGCCTGCAAGACAAAGGAAAGCATCAGCATGCCCACCTGATTTGAGGTCGGATCCATTCAATATAAGGAGTGTTCACAGCTCTAGTCTACCCATGTCCCTGGTAAGATACACTTCTACCTCTGTGCTTGCATTTTCCCACTAAAGAGGCATGCCACTAAAACAGTTCAATGAAAGAAACACAAATCTTTTTAGTAACCTCGTGCAAATCACAATAGTTTAAAAGCATTTGACTGTCCCCCCCACCCCCAGTATAACTTTACATCAGGCAGAAAGCTCTTTATTTAATTGCTATTTCAAGATGAGGATAGAGGTAGCCTCATTAGTTTACAACCATGGTACAAGACAGATGCAAATTGGCAGGGGGCACTTTGAAAATGTCCAGATACATGCTCAGTTTCTTTTATTTCCTCTGATGCTTAAAGAAATCAGCTTTGAGCTACAAAAGAGTGTCAGAGGATTAAATGGTTGAATCAGAAGGCTCTGAGATTGGTGGTGTTGGGATGGGGATGGTGAATCCAGAAGCACTCGTGAAAGGCTGGGTGCTTGAAAGAGTCTGGAAATCAAGAGGGTGATTAATGAGAAACCAAGTTCAAACTGGGAATGGGTATTCACTTTCCCCTCTTCCTTTTCTCATGCACCACAACACAACACTTCATAGGTTTGTTAAACCATTTTCCAGTTGCGTCCAAACAAGGAAACTGACGAATGCTTGGATTGTAGGAGTGCAAACCACCTACAGAATGGGGCCACCTCAAATGGGTTCTGCATGACATCTTCCAGATTATACAGGTGGTGAACATTTTGTGCACAGTCAATTGAAATGTGACTGCCAATGTGTACATCATTTTCGGCCCTAGACAAGGGTGGAACGGGCTTACATGCAACCGATGACATGTACAATGATCCAGAATGCAAGCTCCATGCAAAGCCCATATGGTAGAAGAAGTTAGTGTAGCTGCTGATCTAAAAAGAAGTGTATCTTCTCCCCCCTCTCCACTGTATTGGTGCCCTTTGTTTTTTGCAGGTGGAGCTACAGAAGAGTGATAATCTGGACATAGCAATGTCATTGGACCATACCGTGAGGCACTCATTCACAATAGATGATAGGTTGTGGCTCAGTGGCAGAGCATCCTGGGTCCAATCTCCAGGAGCTCTGGGAGAGATCCCTGTAAGAAACCCCAGTGAGCCATTGTCAGTCGGTGCACTGTAGATAATACTGAGCTGGATGAGCAAAAGTTGCTAACAGAAGCACATTCCTAAAATGTCCTTATACTCAAGGACATTTTTGGTGTGGGGTGGCTAAGTGCAGAATGACAGTTTGTGAAAGAGACATAGCCCCAGCAAACAGTGTGTGTGTGTGTGTGTGTGTGTGTGCGCGCGCACGCTATGCATCTAGATGACATTCACAAATGTATTTTTAGATGTTAAAAGCATACTTCTGAGTGCATTAATCAGTTCTCTCAATGTAATTTCATCTTGATTGTAGCTTTTTACTACATAACCAAAAATGCTTTATATTGTACCCAAAGTGTTCCATCAATATTTTCAAGAAGAACTAAGGTGAAACCAGACTGTTGTTATTCAGATACTCCTACTGTTCTTGAATTGTGATTTCCCCCTTTGTTTCATACTAGCAAATTTGTGCATAATCCAGGATGTTTCACAAATGTAAGCATGATTAAATTCAAAATTATGCTCCCAGTGGCAGTGCAAACATGCAGTAATTTCTTCCCAGAGCTGTAGAGATACAACTGTATTTTTTGCCAGCTTAATATTTTTTTATGAAACTGCTTAGGAATCAAATCAATAAGGTGCATTTCAGGTAACCGCTGTGAATTCTGAACACATCGAAGTTACTGTTTTGTGCGTGTGTGCAAATCAATGAGGAAGGGCTACATTATCTGAATGCAATTTTAGAGTTTTGAGAGGAGTTCCAGCGGAATGGAGAGATGGGACACAGAACTGCAGTCTTATACCCATTTATTTTGGCACAAGCCTTGTTGCAATCAATGAAACCTGCTTCAAACTGTGCTGCAAAAAAGGTATGTGCTGAAAGGGAGAGGAAGACATTTGTTCTGAGCAGATCAAGGGACTAGAAACAAAGGTATAGCTGGTGCGCATGAGTGGGATGCCATAATCCTTTCTGGTCATGCAAGATGCAGGAAAGAAATAGCGGTGCCGTGTTTGGAACAGTGGTGAGTGGTACCCATTCATAGCTGTCAACTTTTTCCTTTTCTTGCGAGGAATCCTATTCGGAATAAGGAAATTTCCCTTAAAAAAAGGGGGGGAAAGGGAAAAGGGAAACACCCATTGGGTGACCAGAACCTCACCTGCCTGTACTTCTTTGAATTTGGTTTATTGGTTTAACAGTGGTTTTTCATTGCTCCAATCTTTGAATAAATATAACCTTTATTCCAGTTTTATCTCATGAGCCTTCTTTCCGGTGTGGAGGAAATCAGTATTGTGTCATATGCCCTGCAGATGCTGCATTATCTTATGCCACATGTTTAGAGTGGGTTGTGTGAGAGAATAATAATAATAATAATAAATTTTATTTATATCCCGCCCTCCCCAGCCGAAGCCGGGCTCAGGGCGGCTAACAACACTAAAATAGTGCAACATTATAAAAACATTATAAAAATTAATTAAAATCAAAATTGATGGCAACCATAAACTAAAGTTTTGTAAAGATTGCCAAAGGAGGGAGTCAGGCTGTGCCCTGACCAAAGGCTTGGTGGAACAGCTCTGTCTTGCAGGCCCCGTGGAAAGATGTCAAGTCCTGCAGGGCCCTTGTCTCTTGTGACAGAGCGTTCCACCAGGTTGGAGCCGCAGCCGAAAAAGCCCTGGCTCAAGTCGAGGCCAGCCTAACCTCTCTGTGGCCTGGGACCTTCAAGATGTTTTTATTTGAAGATCGTAAGTTTCTCTGTGGGGCATACCAGGAGAGGCGGTCCCGTAGGTACGAGGGTCCTAGGCCGTATAGGGCTTTGAAGGTTAAAACCAGCACCTTAAACCTGATCCTGTACTCCACCGGGAGCCAGTGCAGCTGGTATAGCACCGGATGAATGTGATCTTGCAGCGAAGACCCATAAGGAGTCTTGCTGTGGCATTCTTATGGGCTGTTCTTAGGCACCTTCCCCCCTCTCATGTTGATTTATATACACAAGGCTGACCCACCCATGAGGTGGACTCAACCAGATGCCTCAGGTGGCAGAATCCCTCGGGTACCTACCCACCCCTGCTGGGATTGTGTGGCAGAAGCAGCTTCCAGCAAGATCTTCTGAAAGCTCCATGAGATCCCACAAAAATTCCACAAGATCTTGCTGTAAGTTGCCACTGTGCAAGCCGTGGGGATGGCTGGAGCAGAACTTCTCCATTTTACTTCAGGTGGTGGAAGGGATGGGCCACCCCTGTGTGTATGTGTATGTGTGTCTCAATAGATGGGTCCTTGCAAAGAGCATTTTGTTGGGGTGCCACTGAAGTTTCTTCTTTCTTTTCTCCCCATAAGAGGGCGAATGCACTCTTCCTCTTAGGAATTACTTCCTTTTAATGCTTGATTTTATCCTGCACTGTTCTTTATCTATCACAAGCCACTTAGAGGGCTTTGTGGCCAGAAGGTGGGGTAGAAATTCCTAAATGAGTCAATATAAACAAAACGGTTCAAAAGCAGCAAGGACCACAGCTCAGCGGCTAGAGCACCTGCTCTGCATGCAGAAGCTTCCAGGTTCATTTCCTGGCATCTCTAGGTAGAATAGGGAGAGACCCTGCCAATCAGAGTAGGCAGCACTGAGCCAGATGAATGAGTAGTGGGATTTGGTATGGGATTTGGCTGCCTCCTACATTCCTAATGGCAATCAAGCTAGGAACTGAGGAACAACAGGCAAAGAAACTAAGGCTGCAATCCTTAAGCCCAGTTACCTGGGAATGAGCCCTGTTGAATGAAATGAAACTTACTTTGGAGTAGACAGGGTTAGGAATGCATCCTTAAATAACTCATCAAAGGCAGGCTGAACAAGAAGATGCTATTTAGCCCAATGAGCTGTGTTTCGGCTGCCAAGAATTTTAAAGGGACTTATTGGAGCACCTTGAGTTGCACAGTTTATTTATTTATTGCATTAGCCGAGTGGCCATAGCATGATATACATTGAAATAACAACATAAAATGGGGGTGGGGAGGTAGAGGTAGACATCGTCCTGGGCGAATACTTAAAGAAAGTGGAAAAAAAAAAAAAAAAAGCTGCTGAGGCTGGAGGAGGACCGTTAAAGGGTCCTTCAGCTCCTCAGATTAGTCCTAACTCGATTGTCCTTGTACAATAAGGCTACTTGGAACTTCGTTCGGTTGTGCGGCGTATCGACTGCATCTGTGGTGTTAAGGAAGAAGTTAGTGCCGCTTTCCTCTTCATCACACTAAGCAGGAAATTAGCTGTCATCTCAGTAATCCAACAATCAGAATCCTGCAAAAAGAGGGACACTATCCAAGGCTGGATTGGGAGATGGAACTTATTCACGAGGGAGTTAAAAACCGAGATCTTTCATCTGTCCAGTTGGGACAGAAGAGCATTACATGTTCCATAGTCTCCAGGGCCGTGTCATTACAGGAGCATGTTCTGTTTGCGATGGGAACTCTGGAATAACGACCCGACAGAACTGCTGTAGGAAAACAGTTGAGACGGGCACAGGTAAAAGCCCTTCGCTTAGTCTCCGAAGAAATTGTGAAGCAGTATAGAGGATCCCTTCAGGGGTGGAATAGCTAGGGCTAGGCCTGAACACGGTCCTCTTGCACAAGAAGCTGTGTTGGAGAAGTCAAGTTGCTGTAGTTTCTTTTTAATTAGGGGTAGGGCCACCGGGCTGATACACTCTAAGTTAAGAACAGTTTTACAATTCAGATTGAGAAGAGAGCGGAATTTGAGGTTAATTGTAGTTTTCCAAGGGGAATTATGAATATCTCTTAGGATCAGATTGGAAAAGCCACCTCTAATTCGAGCATCCGATGCTAATAGGTGGAGGGTGTAGGAAATGGCTCGGCTCCATGCTCGTCTAGCAATTGAAGGCTGGGCGAACTCGAGTCGTAGGGCTGCACCTGAGACACATCTCGGGACGCCGGAAAGAGATCTCAGAAACATATGAAGTGGACGATCCAGGTTACCTGATATTGCTGTAGTCCATACTTCACATCCATATAATAATTTAGGGACGACTTTGGCATTAAATATTTGAATTGCTGCTGGAAGGTGTTTGCCGCCCTTCTGGTGGTAAAATCGGACAATGGCGTTAGAGGTCGTGGTTGCAGCGAGAAAGGCAGATTGTAGATGGGTGGTCCAGGAGAGATTATAGGTGAATATTAATCCTAAATATTTAAAGGCTTTTACCTTTTCTAAGTAGCCACCTGTGATCTTAAGCGGCTCCAACTTGAGTTTGCGGGAACGAGTGAAGTGGAGGACTTTCGATTTTTATAATTAATATTAAGAGCTTCCGCCTTACAATAGGCGATAAATGCATTAACTGCATTTGCTAGATCCGCAGCTGTTCTGGATAAGATGACGGCATCATCAGCATAGAAAAGGGAAGCAACGGGGTGGCCTGCTAAGTGAGGAGGATACTTAGATGCTAGCTTCAAAGTGGAAATTGCATCATGAAGATAGAGATTAAACAGTAAAGGGGCCAAGAGGCAACCTTGTCGGACGCCCTTGGCCGTTGGAAATGGAGTAGTGGGGAGCCGTTTGGACTAGTTCGGACGCGAGCTGTGGTGTTTGAATAAAGGGAGATAATTAGGGAGAGAAGGTGCGGATCAATTCCCAGATGGGCAAGTTTGGACCATAATCTCTGCCTAGGAATGGAATCAAAGGCGGCCTCCAGGTCCATGAAAGCGGCAAATAGGTGGCCTTGCCTTGGAGCAGTGTATTTACTGGCAAGGTGAAAGAGAGTTAGACAATGGTCCATGGTTGACGCTGACTTTCGGAAACCAATCTGTTCTAGCGGTAGAATGTTCCTCTCCTGGACCCATGAGAGAAGTTCCTCCAGTAAAACAGCGGCAAATATTTTCCCGGGATGGATAATAAGCTAATGGGGCGATAGTTCCTAGGGATGTTTGGCTGGCCGCCTTTGAAGATCGGAACTATTATAGCTTCTCTCCAGGAGTCGGGGATGTCTAGGGCGGAGGAGATAGCGGTGAATACAGGAGTCAGGTGTTCGCTCCACCAAAGAGGATCAGTCAGGAAAAGGTCCAACGGGACCATGTCTGGGCCGGGGCCTTATTCCTTTGCATTGACATTATGATGTTGAAAATGCGAGTTGAAGTAAAGTTTATTGAAGAAGTGGGACTAAGAGAGCAGGAACTGAGGTCCAATGGGGATTGAAGGAGATCTGTAAGATGGTTTGGAGAAGCGAAACTAGTTGAATAATAAGCAATCCATTCATCCGCGGAAATCTGGGTAGCTGGATTGAATGGTGCCGAAGGTCTAACTAGGCGCCAGAAGGAGCGGGAGTCATGCCTCTCTACAGCCGAACGAAGAGTGGACCAAGCCTCAAAGATGTACTGCTGTTTCTTGCAATGAATCATGTTTCTATATGTCCTTTTAATATCTATGAGCTTTGCACGGGTTTGGGGGTCGTTGGAAGATTTGATGATTCTGACCATTTTCCTAATTCGCCTTCTTAGGGCTTTACATTCCTTGTCAAACCAGGGCGATTCAGAGAAGAGGCGTTGGTAAGTAGGCGAGGTGGTGGTTATGTAAGTTGTTGAGAAAGCATCAAGTAATTTCCGGTATTGGTCAGCGGGCAGGATTGGATCAGAGGGAACTGCAGACATATCAAATGATTTTTGTATGTCCAGGGCAAGAGAGGAGCTGAGGCTTGTCCATTTCTTTGTTTTGTATACAGGGTGGCTTTGTACCATGGTTCTATAGTTTGAGGAGACTGGGAGTGGCTCTATTAGGTTTAACATTAGAGTCAATGGAAGGTGGTCACCACCAAAATATTCAGCCACTTCCATTTTTGTAGAAATTGAGAATAGCTCCGGCGTCAATAAAATGTAGTCGACAACACTGGTTCCCGGGAAGTGATGCACGTTAATTGCTGCGAGGACAAGGGAGTAATGTTACCATTTGCGATGCAGAGATCGTTTTCCATGGCCAGTTGGGCCATCAGCCTCCCGACGCATTTGTTATAGGATCAAGAGAGCATCTGTTTCCCCAGGGGGGCTGCAGGGGATTGTCCAGGAGTGCTGCGGGAGATATTATATCATCGTCGTTGGGACCTATTCTTGCATTAAAGTCGCCTAAGAGGATTTGAGGGAGTCCTGGGTTAGTTGTTTGGAGATCATGGAGCCAAGACGAAAGTTCAGACCACCTTTCATTGCGGTCGAAATCATTAATTGCTGGGGGCAGATATACTGTAGTTATCAACCATGGGCTTTTGGTCTTTGGGAGATGAATCTTTATGGTGAGAAAGTAAGGGGAAGATTTAATTTCCTCGCAAATAGTGAGGGGTAAGCTGGTTGAAATAAGACAGGCGAGGCCAACTTGGGGGCGACCCCTGTTGGTTAGTTTACGAGCACAGGAGCTAAAGGAGCAATAATTTGGGAGAACAATACTTTGTTGGGACCAGGTCTCTTGGAGGCATACAATGTCGAAAGAAGAGATGAAATTCATTGCTTCAGGATCCATTTGCTTTGTCGCCCAGCCGTTAACATTCCAGGAGACAATTTTAAGGCTCTGGGGTAGGTTGGGTGCGTCTTTCAAGGAAACAACTGCTTTTGCTTGATTTGTGAGTGAGGGTTGAGTCTGTTCGTATCTAATGATATCGGATTTCCGCGGAGATAGGGAGCCGGCTGGTGTTTGTCTCTGGTCTAATCTTTGTCAATTATTTCCCAAGGTGCTTTTAGGGATTACTTTTTTATGAGCCGGCCCATTGCTCTCCATACATGGCAAACTAGCCAAATGTTCTATAGTTTCGGCTGTTAACTGTTGAATACTGACATTAGTGGTCACCGGGCCTTTGAAGTGTGTTATCTCTTTCCGTAGGTGTTTTTCCGGAACCTGATTGTGGCCTAATTCCGCCTCATCTAGATACCTCAGCTTGTCCCAAGAGCCTGGTGAATTCACCTTCGGGATGGTTCTCTTTATTGGAGGTGGTGTAGTGTTCTCTTCAGTGTGCTGGGCTTCCTTAATTGGGAGTAAATTAATCTCAGCCATTGTCTGAAGGTAACATGGCCGACAGGCCGCTGGGTTTGGTTCTTGTGTAGGGTTCAAATTATAGGAAGTCTGGTCCTTTTTAAGGGCGTCCATATTGATTTCCTTGTTTGTATCTCTCCCAGCCAGCTTAATTCTTAGCATATCCAATCTTTCTAATATTTCAGCTTGTATTGGAGATGGAAAATGGCGAAATTGCCTAATTAAGGTATTTTCTTCCGCGGAAAAAAGATCCTCATCTTCATTCTCTTGAAGTTGCAGGTCTTGCAGGTGGGCATCTTTCCTTTTTAATTTTTGAAGCTCTCGTTTCTGGAGACCAGGCCGGGTTTTGGGAGGTTGTTTCTCCTTACTAGGGTTTGCGTGCTTGGCTTCCAGAAGGGGATTCGGTGGTGCCTTGTTTTCAAAAAATCTGAGAATTTTTATCTGGGCCTTTAAGAATATATATCTTGATCTGTAGATAAACTTGGCCAGGTTCTGGTCTCTAAATGTGATCATTGCTCTCATTGAACAACCATCATGATGCAAATAATCTACAGAAATAATGTCATATGGCTTTACTGCTCCTGGCAATATATCATTCAGAACGTTCAAGGAGCTCATTCTTCGTTCTTTCCCTGTAAGGAAGCCCTTTGATTTTGGGAAGTTTGTAAATACTAATATTGAGGGATTTAAAATCAGGTTCCAACATCTTGTCTGAATAAAGGTTTGCCCATCTTGTATAGTGTTGTCATCGCGATTGGGCATTGCATCGTCCCCATTTCCCGATTTGCTAAGCGGTTTGCTGCCTTCATTGTTAGGGACCACTTCTCCCCCAGAATCTGGTTCGCTGAGTGAACTGTTACCAGAACTCTGGGACGTTGCTTCCGTCCTCCCACTTAGTTCTGAATTCTGGTTCAGAGATGCCACCTTAGCCATTAGCTTTGGCGATGGCTTCTTTTCCCCTTCCTGCCATTCTCTATTTTATCTCGTGCAGCAGATTTATTTGAGTCCAATGGGAGTAGATTAAATAATTTCTGCCATTGTTTATGTCGGCTTATCTTTATTTTCCTTGTTGTTTTAATGTTCTTAGTTTTCTTTTCCCGGACTTTTGATCTATTTTTTTGCAATTTCTTGGTTGTTACTGCTTGTCTCATCTTCACTAGTTCATCTGGGTTATGCACAAGTTCATCTGGTTTATGCACTTGGGGTGCATCGGTTGCTGTTGTCTCTTTTGGTTGGGGAATAAAATTTTCCACAAGGGTCAGCAATAACCCATTTGTTATTGTCAAGTAATTTTTTATGTTGGAAAGGTCTATATTTATATCTTGGAAATGGGCCTGAAGATGGCCATCACTCAGTTCAGTTTGAGTATATTTGGAAGTGGGCGCCTGGTCTTGGTGGCATGTTGTTAATTCTGCCAGGGGCCGCTGGTTATAGGTGACAGAAATATTTTCCACAGGTTTCTCAGCTAGAACTAGCTCTTGCGCCAGGCTTCTTGGGGAATTTGTGTTTCCAGAGTTGTGTTGAAGCTCTTTGAAGTAATGTGACCGGTCAAGGTAAGTAAGGGGGAGAGGAGTGACTTCGTCAATAATTGGTTCAATTTGTTCACTCATGCATTCCTCCCTCTTGGAGAAGTAATTTATAATTTTACTTTGTCTCTTTCCAGGTCCCGGGGGGCTAAGTGGCGTATCTGGCAAGATACCCAACTCCTTACACAACTTTCTAGTGAGGACCATGTTGGATAGTTGTCTTCCTATTAGAAAACCAGTTGTCCCCCAGTGTTTCTGCCTAATTAGCAGGGCCAATGGATGAGTAGGGATGAATCTGCAGCTTTCTCCTGCTTAGCTCATCAGCGAGCGCTGGCTCTCAGTATGTTTCCCTGGTGGAGCCCCTCTCCTTTCCAGTGACGGGGAATCCCTTCACGGCAGGGGAGTCAACCAGACCTCTTCCCTTCCCCACTCACTCGTCTCAGAAGATTACTCAGCTCCTCAGCACCAAATGCACAGCGGGGGGTGCGGCAAGGCAGCAAGGCTGAAGCACGAAGCAGGTAATAAAACAATAAAGCAATAAAAGCCCAGAGGGGTTAAAAGAAACTACTTAGAACTACTTAAAACTTAGTCTAAAAACAATAAAACAATAAAAACCCAGAGGGGGGTTAAAATAACTACTTAAAACTACTTAAAACTTAATCTAAAGGCAGACGCCTTTACTAAGCCGCTACCCTCGTCGCCATTTTGGCTGGAGTTGCACAAAAAAACACAGAGCATCCTTTCTACATGGTACATTCCTCCATCCTCACCTACCTGCAGTCTTTGAACTTCAGCAGTCTCTTGAGTCCCTTGGTTCTGCTCTCCATCCCAGCATAACTCCTTTGAGTTCAATCTTTCATGACCAGCTTGCCCTTTTGCGAGTGATCTATAAAATTGATCTTTTATTCACTGTCTTTCCTAATTTCTAGACAACAATCTTTCATGTACGCCTTTGAGTTTTCGCTCTCTCTTCTTCTCTCTTAGTTGTAAGGACTCTTCTTGGATTTCATTGTATCTCCATTACATCGTTACGAATCTTGCTTGGATCACTTTGAAGCCCCCTCCCCGTCCTGTCGCAATATATTCAGCTATTCCAGTCTCTTTTTTCATAATACAGATCTTTGAAGCCTGGTATCATTTTGATCGCAGTAGGATGTACCAAATCAAAAGAAATTATGCTGTTTCCACAGCATGCTGCCTAGTATTGGGCATAGTACTGCAGGCAAGGACTAACCAGTCACTTAGGCCAGACAACCGCACCTTCACTGATTTCCATTGTGCAACTGTAATTTTACTTGGCATTACAGTCTTTTACAAACCTTTCCAGAACTATGGCTTCAAATGGGAAGCAATGAAGTCAGCTTAAGAAACACCCACAACCCATACTCATGCATAGATGGAAACAGACAAAAATCTCAAAGGCAACAAAATAAGATATACTCTGCTGGTTTTATTGCTTTTGACTTCTCTGTTGACTTTTACTGTAACATCTCGCTTTTCTACCAAAACCTACTATAGTAGACTACAGCAATTATAATAGAATGCAATGAAAACTGCTATGAAATGTGGAAAATGACCCATATGCATGCTTAATGACGCAGTTGATGGGGGACCTTTTTCAGATTGGGGGCCACATTCCATCTGGGAAACATTCCAGAGGATGTGTGCCAGTGTTGTGGTTGGGCAGAGGCAAAAGTGGGCAGCACTTTACCTTTGTAAGGTAAGTTACTTTCCCTACTCACATTTGTACCCTCCTCTCTGGCCTGCATTCAAGCAAGCAAGATACGTGATCAAACTTCAAGAACACTTTTCAGCCAGGCAAAAACACACAGTGCAGAAGACTGATGAACGTGGGTGAAGGCTCTCCGTGTGACTTGGAGACCCAGATCACAGGAAGAGCCTAAATGCATTCAGCAAGCATTCCCATTACAAACGTTACCTCCATGGGCAGCAAGGGGTGGGCAAGTGCAGCCTCACTCTGCCCTTTTTACAGCATTCATTACATATGGAAATCAGGGCCAGATAGGGCTACACAGTGAGTGGGATTGAAAGAATGAGTCACATTAGTGGAAGGACATCTACTTGCACAATGGGGCTTTCTCCCTTCTCCTCCCCTTGCACCCACAGCCCTAAAATTGACCCCCAGAGGGAGGAGAGGGAGATCTTTTGGCATGGCAATGCAAAATTCTCGCGAGAGCATGGTCCCCAAAGCTGGAATGTCCCTATTTAATTGGGGCAGTTGAAGGGGTATGAAGCTCTGGTTTTTAGTTGCCTTGAATTGTTGCAGACAAACAATGGTCTTCAGAAAGCCAAATTGGCAGTTTTTATGATATTTCGTATGTTGTGGGGTGTGGCGAGAGGAAGACCCCAGCAGCTATGGAATATTCTAACTGACTAAAATTGATGGAAACTTAAAATTGGATACCACAGAGGCTGAAAAGCCCGGAGAAGGCACAAGTAGCTTCATCAACAAGGAAGATACAACTGGCCTTAAGAGCCTCATTGTATGATTTTGTTGCCCAAGATTTATATCAGGATTCCAAGCATACTTCCACAGAAATCCATAAAAATCAAATCAAATCAAGGTAGGTGCATTTAGGATTGAGGTATTAATTTAATCTTATTGGACACAATCCTGCACACTCCATTAAACTGTGTGAATCATGTTGACTGTTGATCGGATTTCATCAAGCTGTCTGTATGCAGGATTGCAGCTCACCCCCACCTGCAAAGGAATGCCTGGCCTTGAGGTATATTGTGCTGTCAGCATTGTGGCTTTAATTATTGTTTTAGGGTTTCATTTTTTATTACACGTTTCCAAAGCATGAACACTTTGATCCTGCTCCCAGACCTCTTAAAGTTATTTATGATTTTAAAGCATCAAATATAGTTTCTTGGCCCCAAAGGAGCCGGTGTTAAGTTGGACAACAGACAGCAAGGAACAATGCTGCATTAAACAGGAGACGCTGGAGGTTAATACACGGATGTTGAAAAGCAGCTTCTTTATTTTGTTAAGATGTTATTACGTAATCGGGAGATGACTTTCATATCTAACTGCCCGCGCCTGAATTATTGCTCTGACTCCAAAGACTTTGGGGCTTCTTACTTTACTTATTCTGCCATTGATCCTTCCTGGACCCTTTCCAGCCACACTGTATTTGTTTCAGGATAAGGTAACGCCAGGAAAGCAAAGAAACAATCCTAGAAGCTGATCTTAGAGCTCAGAACTGAAGGAAGGAAATTCTGGAGAGGGATTTCTGTGACATTTGGGGCTTTATGATGCCGAGATGAACAAAACACCCTTCAAGCGGGTGACATTACTTCTGGTTTCTAAAAGCTTTATCTGTTCTCTTTCTGTCAATGTTAATCATTCAAATGGTCAGCAAGGTCAGCCCTGCTGCCTGATCTTAGGGCCAGGGGCTATCACTTCTTCCAGGCACCAAAGGTTTCCAGATGCCAGCAGCAGCCCGTTTCAAGCTGATGTATTATTCCCTGATAATTCAGATCCTCCAAGTGTCCATATTTTCCAGTGACAGTCCTGGATTTACTGAAGCCGTCCCAGTTTCTGATTTGATCCCGGAATGATCCCTGACAGATCCAGAATACTGCGAATTTGCCAAAAAAAGCTTATCAACAACTTCGGGGGATACATTAAAACTCATCAACTTTTCTGTCCAGATTTTCACCATTTGAAATATGGCAACCCTAGTTATGCAACCCCTGAGTCAAGGAGATAAGTAACTGTACAACCTTCAGAAAACATCTGAATGCTGACCTGCATAGGGAAGTTTTTTAACTTTTAACGTTTAATGTTATATATATTGGAAGCTGCCCAGAGTGGCTGAGCCAACCCAGTCAGATGGGTAGGGTATAAATAATAAAGTTATTGTTATTATTATTATCATGGAATAGGACATTCCTATTTTCATTGGGGAAATGTTGGAGAGCATGATGATATTGCAGAGGCTCAATGGACCCAATGCAGTTTGTTTCATTTATTTAGCAAGATTTGTATATCACTTAATCAGAAACAATAATAAGGATTTCTAAGTGGTTTGCATAATAGTATAAAATATTTGTTAAAAATAACAATAGTAATAGACTTTTAAAACAGTAGACAGTGGTACCTCGGGTTAAGAACTTAATTCATTCTGGAGGTCCGTTCTTAACCTGAAACTGTTCTTAACCCGAGGTACCACTTTAGCTAATGGGACCTCCTGCTGCCGCCACATGATTTCTGTTCTCGTCCTGAAGCAAAGTTCTTAACCCAAGGTACTATTTCTGGGTTAGCGGAATCTGTAACCTGAAGCGTCTGTAACCTGAAGCGTATGTAACCCGAGGTACCACTGTATTGGCTTTATTGTGAACAGCTCCTTTGCCCCTGCCTGTTTTTGTGACCCTTGTTCACACTGTTTTCATTTTTATGTGTTCATGCATCTTCTTTCGTGACAGTTTTTGTATACTTGTCAAAACAAAATAAACAGTTCTTTTAAAAAAAATCAGGTCATAAATTTATAAAAATATAGATAACATCAACAGTTTTAGAAGCATGTGAATGCAATAAAATTGCATGTCTGGGTAGGTTTCCCTGAACAAACACCTTTTTTTTTTTTTTTAAGCATCAGAAAACGCTACAGTGAAGATACCTGCTTAATATTAATAGGCCGGGACTTCCAGAACATGGGTGCTGTCACACTGAAAAATCAATTTCCTGCAAATGCAGAACAAACATCACAAGGCACTTGCAAAAATGCCAGTTCTGCAGATCGAAGCAGTGGAATGGGCACACGCGGGCACATTTCAAGCAGATGCATTATTCCCTGGTGATCGTGCACAAGCCAGAAGGGCCTGATGCAGCTTATGGAGAAAGGGGCTTAAGCTTTAGAATGTGGGAATCACATCCAGGCTTTCCATGAACATTTGTAAGGCAGTGCTGCAGCTAAGGTTGGACCTCGGAGCAGCGGTGGAGCAAGCCAATTGGGTGCCTGGGGCGGCACGCGTGCCCTGCACCCAGGGGTGGAGTCAGCTGGGGCAGGACGCTCTACAGGGCCTCCATGGAGCCTGCCTGCCTCCTCCCACTCAGCTGCCCCACAGCTGAGGGGGGGGTGACAGGTGGACTGTTTGGGGCAGCATAGAGCCTGCAGGCGCTCAAGCCACCGTGTCACTACTAGGAGAGATGTGTGGCTTGGGCGTGCTGCAGGCCATATGGTGAGTGCTGTGCATCATTTTGTCACAAACTCCCTGAGCTGTCTTAAGCATATGTGGCACCGGGGTGCAAAGATCCGCCCCCCCGCCCAGGTTGCCCAGTCCCAGGCGCGCAGGAGGGTGGAGCCGGCTGGCCGCCTCAGCATCTCGCTGGCTCGGTCGCCCCTGAACTTGCTGCCCACAGCAGAAGAGCCTGCCGCGGCACTCCAACCGATGGGCGGGCTCTTCCCTGGACTCAACTCTTGGGCCC